TGTTCCCCTGCCTACCTGGTTTCATGTTTCATGAAAAAGGGAAAAGGGTAAGAACATTTTTCCATGCTCTCCCTAAGAAACCTTAGGAGGTTTCTCAACTCAAACCAATTTGTAAATCTCCTGGTCGGTGTGCATGGGCTCTCAAGTGCCACTGCCTAGCAACATGTAAGAGCATCTTGAAAACCAAATGTTATAAAATTGGGATTCCCCCACATTGCTCTTTTGGAGAGAGAGTCCAGTCCCTCTAAGGTTGAAAGGAACAGTCTAGAAAGGGAGGCCACTGCACATAGCAAAGGTCCACTCAGGACTCAGGAGTTTATAGGTAAATACCTAAAGAAAAAAAAAATGAGGAAAGATGAAAGACCAAAAGAAAAAAAGTATAACTGCAGGGGCGTTATGTGGCTACAAGTAATCCCTCCCTTCCCAAAGAGCGGGAACTTTAAATCTTCTATACCAAGTAACTGTCAGGTCTAAGAAACATAATGTTAGTCCCCAATTGCTTACTAATTTAAAAACAACAATGAAAAATAAATCCATAGATACAAAGGAGAAAATAAAAGGTAAAGTTAAGTTATATACATTTGTAACATTTAATATAGATGTATATATATAAATTATAAAATGCACACAAAACTAAATTAAAACAAAGATCCATAGTTTGAACCAATTGAAAACCTAGTTTATAAAAGTTTATATGTTAAAAACTTATATAACAAGTTTTATATATAATTATATATAACAAATATGTAACAAAATTTATATATTAAAAATTTACATATCAAAAAGAAAAGGCTTTTGAGCCTTCACAATGTAAGTTCTAAATTAAACATAATATTGCTAAAATATACTAATTGACAAGGCTTCATAAATTGTAATCAATACTAGGGCTCAAATGATAGTTATACCTGGGGACTCCACTAAATTTAAACATTATTTCTCCTGTAATCATAAAAAAATAATTGAGATAGAGGAAAATAGGTGTACCTCACTGCAATTGTAGTTGTGTCTAAATTTCCCATAGTTATTGTACCCATTGCCCTAAAATATCCCATCTTAAGCATAGATGCCCTGACAACGATGAAAAATAAATAAAGGTCTTTGGCTTTATTCCTTGATAAAATGTGATTCTGTGGACACTTAGTTAAAATAATTAATATGGCTCAATATGTGTTAAAACTGGCCTAAGTTTTAGAACTTATCATATAAACATAACAAAGAGGTGCTTATTTCAATTTTGCCTATTTCAAAACTTGAGAATAAATAAATAACTATATCTATCTTTTGGTTGTTAACTGAGTGAAGAGCAGTTAAGAGTTCCTGGACTGTGTGAATGGCACTGCTAGCCGCATGTGACAAACTGCTGGAATGTTACTGCTTTCCAGCTCTTCCTTTAAACAAAAACAAATGGATGAAAGTCAACCATTAAGACAAAACTGCAAAATTCCTAGAAGAAAGCATAGGAGGAAAGCTTCCTGACATTGGATTTGGCAATGGGTTCTTAGATTTGATACCAAAAGCAACTTGCAATCAAAGAAAAAATTGGTAAGTTGTAGTTTATCAAAATTAAGATCTTTTGTACTTCAGAGGTCAATCATCAGCATTTAAATACTTTTGTACTCCAAAGGACACATCAAGAAAGTGAAAACCCATGGAATGGGAGAAAATATTTGCAATTCATATATGCAAGAAGCAACTTCTATAAAGAATATATAAAGAATTCTTACTACTCAACAATAAAAAGACAAATAATCCAATTTTAAAATAGACAAGAGATTGGAAGAGACATTTCTCCAAGGACATAACAAATAGCAACAAATACATGAAAAGATACCACTAGTCATCAACATCACTGGTCAGTAGAAAAATGACCCAAATCACAAGGAGATACCACTTCTCACCACTTAGGACAGCTAATACGTGAAAACAAAAATTAACAAGTGACATTGGGAAATAGGAACTCATACACTGATGGATAGAATGTAAAATGGTGCAGCCACTTTGGAAAACAGTCTGGTAGTACTTCAAAACGTCAAATATATAGTTACTATATGACCCAGCAATTCCACTCCTAGGTAGATACCTATGGTAATTTTATGTGTCAACTAGACTGTGTCATGAAATACCCAGATATCTCATTAAATGTCATTTCTGCTGGTGTCTGTGAGCATGTTTCAGGAGATTCGCATTTGAATCAATAGACTGAGCATAGCATATCACCCTCCCCAACATGGGTGGACATCATCCAATCCGATTTAGGGTCTGAATGGATCAAAAAAGCAGAGGATGACTGAATTCTCTCTTTCTGTCTGATTGTTGAACTGGGATAGTGATCTTCTCCTGCTCTTGGTGCTCCTGGTTTTCGGGCTTTGAAACAGGGACTGAAATCTACCCCGTTGGCAGCCTGGCTGTCAGGTGTTTGAATGGCACCCCCTACTTTCATAGGTCTCTCGATTGGGGTGGTAGATTGTGAGACTTTTCAGCCTTCATAGTTATATAAGTAGTTCCGTACATAAAAGTCATGTGTGCATATAATAAGTACATATAATGTATATTATGTCCATTGTATGTGTGTAGCTCACCATAAAAAGTTAAGGGCTGTATGTTCTATTTTTCTGGAGAATTCTAATAACAATACCCAGGATAAATTAAAATATGTCTGCACACACACAAAAATATGTGAATGTTCAGAGCAGCATTACTCATAATACCCACAAAATGTTAACAACCCACATGTGAATCAACTGATAAATACGTAAATAACGTGGTACATCCATAGGATGGAATAGCAGTCAGCAATAAAAAAGAATGATATGCACTACAACACGTATGAACCTTGAAAACATGCTAAGTGAAAAGAAGCTATTGGCAAAGGATCTTATGATTTCATTTACATGAAATGTCCAGAAAAGGCAAATCTATAGAGTCAGAAAGTACATTCATGGTTACCTACACATTAAGAGAGGAGGAAAATGGGATTATGACAGCCAAAGGGTTGTTTTGGAGTGACAGAGTTCTAAAATTGTGCTAGTTGCACAACTCTGGAATTTTAAAAAATTGAAAAAGTTTCAAATGCACAAATTGTAGGTTATGTGAATTATAGCTCAATAAAGCTGTTCCAAAAAAACAAAAGAAAAAAAATCATGGTATAGCTGCATCATTAGAAGCATAAAAAAATTCTTGTCTCTGAAGTACCTAGAGCAGTAGGTGCAACATATATTAGCTGCCATTATATTTTTACCACTAAATATTAGAACTTAAGATATTATAATTTTTAAAAGTATGATACGGGCATTAGTATTACTGGCACAGAAGAGTCTAGAAACGTATACTGGCATATATAGGAATTCATTTAATAAAGATGGAATTTCACATGACTGGGTCAAGAAAAGTTTACTGGTAAGTGGTACCACAACTGGCCATCTTTTCTGGAGGAAAGAAAATAATCGGATCTGGGGCGCCTGGGTGGCTCAGATGGTTAAGCGTCTGCCTTCGGCTCAGGTCATGATCCCAGGGTCCTGGGATCGAGCCTCACATCGGGCTCCTGGCTCAGCGGGGAGCCTGCTTCTCCCTCTCCCTCTGCCTCTCTCCCTGCTCATCCTCTCTCTCTCCCTCTCTGTATCTCTGTGTGTCAAATGAATAAATAAAATTTAAAAAAAGAAGAAAATAATCGGATCCAATACCCCACACCACATGGCCAAATAAACACCAGGATTAAAGATTTAAATGTCTTTAATAGGGGCACCTAGGTGGGTCAGTCGGTTAAACGTCTGCCTTCAGCTCTGGTCATGATCCCAGGATCCTGGGATTGAGCCCAGCACAGGCTCCCTGCTCAGTGGGGAGTCTGCTTCTCCCTCACCCTCTTGGCCTTCCCCCTGCTCCTTCTCTCCCTCTCTCGCTCACTCTCTCAAATAAATAAACGAAATCTTAAAAAAAAAAAAATGTCTTTAATAAATGTAAGAAACAAATTCGGTATACAGTTTGAAGACATTTAAAGGCAAGAAACAAGTTATTTTGGGGGTGCCTGGGTGGCTCAGTCAGACCGCTGCCTCAGGGTCCTGGGACTGAGCCCCATGTCACGCTCCCTGCTCATTGGGGAGTCTGCTGCTCCCTCTGTGCTTCCCCCTGCTCATTCTCTCTCTCAAATAAAATTTTTAAGAATTACTTTTAAAAAACAGATTTTTTGGCTACATACATTTAGTATTTTGTACAGCAACACATAAAACAACCTAGCAAAAATAGTTATCAATAGATGCATAAGACACATTTGATAATGCACGTGAACAATTCTTAATAAAATGTCTTATTAGAATCAGGGTTTAAACATCTTTATTAACTCCACAAAGGCCATCCACTGAAAACCCCAGCAACCACAGAGAACGTGATTACTGGAGAAACTTCAGATGTATTCCTGAGAAGTGAAGAATGCCCGGTATCAATGCTATTTCAAAAATAAATAAGAGAATTACACGTTAGAAGGGGGGGAATAGATTTGCAGAAAATGACATTACATTGAAAATCCAAAGGAATCACTTATTGGAGTTTAGCATGGTGCCCAAATAAAGACCTAAAGAAGGGACTGACTGGAGGAGCTAGACTTTAGGGACTGGCAAGAACGTCAGATAGGGGAGAATCCTTGTAAGGGGTCCAGGAACAAGGGGAGGGGCAGGCAGCTCTCCCGTGCTTGTCGTGGGGTCGGAGCCTACCCGCACACTCGCCCTTCCAGCTTAAATATTCCGCAGTCCGAACAGACACTGGGTCTGTTCCCACCTGCAGCCACGCCCTCGGGAGTAGGCCCCGCCCACGGCGCTGGTTCTAACTTCCGCCAAGTCCCCGGGCCCCCTTCCGTCCCCGGCTCCCGCGCCTGGCCCACCCCGACCCGCCCACGCCCACGCGGGAGAAAGCTAGAGCTTTCCCGCCTGATGTGGTCGGATCGGGCTGACGGCCGGAAAGCGGGGGCCCGCCCCTTCCGGCCTCAGGCAGGAAGCGGAAGTGGGGTCACGGAGGCGCCGGGCTCTTTTCCGCCGCTGGCCTGGTTTCGCTTTGGCTGTGGGTCCGCGCAGGCCAACTTCTGGAGGTCAACGTGAGGGAGACGAAAGGACGAGGTTGTGCCGGGCCTCCCAGGAGCCTGCTTAAAGAGACCTGGCGCGTGGGGCGCCTGGCGGGCTCAGTCGGTGGAGCGAGCCCCTCTTTATCTTGTGGTCGTGAGTTCAAGCCCTACCTTAGGTGTAGGGATGACTAAAAAAAAATAAACTTTAAATAAGAAAGAGAGCCGGCGCGCACCGCTGTCTTCCGCTGGGAGTGTCCTCGGGAGTAGCTGGACCGGGAAATGTAAGGACTCTTCCGGGGGGTCGGTTCATAGACTGCTTCCCTCTTCAGTGGCCTGCAAAGCAACCTCTGTGACTTTTCTCCAGGGGGAAAAGAGCTTCCGCCGGTCAAGTTGGTAGACCCCGGCCGTGTCCTCGCGTCCTCACCGACCACGCGGTTCCGGCTCATGCCGGTGAGCACTGTGCGGGGGAGCTGGTTCCGACCGGCCTGTTTTCCTATTGGGTGCAAAGGAATGTTTCACCTGACGGTTTGGCTTTATTTTTGCGCGTTCTTTACTTTTGACACATTGCGTTCAAGTAGGAAGTTAATATATTTAGATGTCTATGGTGTGCGTATTTCTGCAGAGAAGTGGAAGCATATGTAGACCACAAGTCTTTTTACTAAAGAGGGACAAGAATACTCACCTGTCTCTTCATCTGAACTTCGTAAGACTACAGCCCCACAAAACTCTAAACCACAGGCCTCTAACAAAAACAGATGGAGGCTTTTTTGTTCTAGTTCTGGAATAATTGAACTTCACAGTAACAGGATATTTAGACTAAATATATTTTTTCCTTTGAAAAATCTTAAACCTAAATAAAATATGAACATACAGTACTATGAATTTCCATTGAGGGGATTCAACCACTTCTAACATTTTGCATGTTTGCCCTCTAGATAAATAAGTACATTTTTTGGTGAACGGTATGAGAGGGTAAGTTGAAAATAAATTGCAGGCAGGATACTTGGCTTTTAAATACTTGGTGATGCATCTGCTAAAGATAAGGACATTGTGCTAACAAAACCACAGTAGTATTATTTCCCCCCATGAAAATTTGAAATAATAATGTCCTCTATCCACTCTGACAAAACTGAAATCCTCCATATTGTTCCAAAATAAGCTTTTGGGTGTTTTTGGATCTAAGATGCAGTCGAAGATTATATATGGCAATTTTTTGTCTTTTAGTGTCTTAACCTACAGCATTGGCTATTGTTCTCCATTGTCTTTTTGAAAAGTCACGTGTTCTTTTAGAAAGTCACACATTTTGATAATTTCTTTTTTTTAATTGAGATATAATTGACATGACCTTATATTTCAGGTGTATAGCATAAAGATTCAATATTTGTTTATATTTGGAAATGATCACCACAGTAAGTCTTGTTAACATCCATTACCACACGTGGTTAGAACTTCTTTTCCTTGTGATGAGAACTTTTAAGCTCTTCTCTCTTACCAACTTTCAAATATGCAACGCATTGTTACTACAGTCTCTCATAGTAATGATAGTCATGTACCTAGGACTTATTTTATAATTGGCAGTTTGTCCTTTTTGACAGTCTTCACCAGTTTCTCCACCCCACCCACACCTCTGACAACCACTTCTGCTGTGCAAAAGTTTTTTAGTTTGATGTAGTCCCACTTGTTTCTTTTTGCTTCTGTTGCTTATGCTTATGGTGTCAAATCCAAAAACTCCTTGCCAAGACCAGTGTGTCAGAGAGCTTACTACCTTTGTTTTCTTCTAGGAGTTTTATGGTTTATGGTCTTAAATTCAAGTGTTTAGTCTCTTTTGAGGTAATTTTTGTGTATGCTTCATTTTCATTTTTTACCTGTGGCTGTCCAGTTTTCCCAACACCATTTCCTTTCCCCGTTGTATTTCTTCTCTCCTTTGTCATAAATTAATTGATCATATTTGCATGGGATTATTTCTGGGCCCTCTGTTCTATTCCATTGATCTATGTGTCTTTTTGTGCCTATACCATACTGTTTTGATTACTATAGCTTTCTAGTATAGTTTAAAATCAGGCATCCAGGATGTGATGCATCCAGCTTTGTTCTTTCTCAAGATTGCTTTGGGTATTCAGAGTCTTTTGTAGTTCCATACAAATTTTAGGATTGTTTGTGCTGTTCCTGTGAAAAATGCCACTGGACTTTTGATAGAGATTCCCTCTATACCCACTTTCTTGAGAGTTTTTATCATAAGTGGGTATTGAATTTTGGTCAAATGCTTGTTCTGCGTATATTGACATGATCATGTGATTTTTATTCATTTTTTAATGTGGTTTATCATATTGATTCATTTGCAGATATGGAACCACCCTTGCCTCCCTGGATAAATCCCATTTGATCGTGGTGTTTGATCCCTTTAATGTGTTGTTTAATTTGGTTTTGCTAATATTTTAAAAGCATGTATTCAGTACCAAAAATTGAGATATTTTGCATTATTTTCTTCAAAGTTAAAAATTTATTGGACAGGGGCGCCTGGGTGGTTCAGTCGTTAAGCGTCTCAGGTCATGATCCCAGGGTCCTGGGATCGAGCCCCGCATCAGGCTCCCTGCTCGGCAGGAAGCCTGCTTCTTCCTCTCCCACTCCCCCTGCTTGTGTTCCCTCTCTTGCTGTGTCTCTCTCTGTCAGATAAATAAATAAAATATTAAAAAAAAAATTTATTGGACAAAATTTATTGGACACTAAATATTTATCAGATATACTTGATTTGTGTTTAGATCATTACAGTTGAAAGAGTAGATTCATACTTAAAATCTTTTAAAAAAAAAGATGGAAGGGTGCTTGGTTGGCTCAGTGGATTGAGCGAGTGATTCTTGATCTCAGGGTTGTGAGTTTGAGCCCCATGTTGGGTGTAGGATTACTTAAAAATAAAATCATTAAAAAAAAAAAGTAGATTCAGATATACAGATTTTTCCACGCACATATATGTGAGCTAAAAACTCCTAGTGAGACATCTGATACATAATGGTCCTCAGTTAATGGCAGTTGATATTAATAATCTTCTGTACACCATGTTTAAGCAGCTTTCATGCATGTCATCTGCACAGAAAAAGTAATTGATCCTGTTGAACCATTACTAATCAGTATTTTTTATTAATTAATATGAACCCAACTCCAAATAACCTTATCTCCAGAGGGATGGAGATGGCCCTATCCACTTATATTCCTAAGCTGCTCTGAAATGATCTTGGTTTACACAGTACATCATTCAAGCAGATTTCACCCTTAGCTTTGCAGGATGATGGCCTGGGGTATGTCCCATGATAAGTCCTTGTTAATGCCCTTTTTCAGAGATTCTGCCTTAGATTCTGCCTGCACAATATAGAGTCCTGAGGTCAGAGCCTGAGCAGTGCTTCTGGTTCATCTAAGAGGAGCTGGAGTGGGCCAGAGAATGCTCTTCTGTATGTCAGGTTCCTGTTATGTGTACATGGTGTAGAGTTGCTGCATAATCTCATTCATTTTATTGCCTTCACAAAGGAAGAGTCCCATTACTCAAGGCCTAAGCGTATGTACCTGTGAAATGAAACCATGACTCTCCAGATCACATCTCTATAGGTTTCCCTGATGGTGTAGTAAAGTCTCCTCCTCTTTGGTGAAGTCCACAGGCACATCATTGAAGATCACTAAGTTCTAAACTCACATAAGTGCTGGCTTTAATTAAAGTAACATTTCCATCAGTCTTCACTGGGGAATGAAGACGGGAGACCCAGTGGCAATAGAGGGTTTCAAAGTCTCTCATTAATTTTCCCCAAGGCACAGTGTTCCTTGCATGAACCAGGCTAATGCACCATCTTGGACAGATTCTCCCCCCCCCCTTTTTTTTCAATTTTATTTGAGAGAGAGAGAGCGCGTGTGTGAGCACTAGCAAGGGGAGGGGCAGGGGGAGAAGCAGACTCCCCGCTGAGCAGGGAGCCTGACGCAGGTCTTGATCCCAGGACCGTGGGATCATGACCCGAGCTAAAGGCAAATGCCCAACTGACTGAGCCACCCAGGTGCCCCTGAACAAATCCTCCTTGAGGACAATTCTGTGACTTCAGCTCTTCTTGCGCACAGCAACCCCCAAATTATTTCCCCTTTGTTTAACCACCCCCTTCAGTATACCTTCAGGGCGTAATGTCCTTGACCTGCCCTGGAGATATGACTATGGCACACATCCATTCTGAAACATTCTCCTCTTGTGTGGTACCCCAGCATGTATTCTCAGCCTCTAGGGCTATAATAACACATCTTAAGGGTCATGGGGTTGTGGAGACCTTTTTGTCTTGTGGCTGCCCATGGGACACTTCTGTCTGTGAGTCCTCTTAATAAACCATTTCTCATCAAATTACACTTGTCCGCCTCCTTTGGTCTTACATCTCCTTTGGCCTTTGGAGTTTGTTTGCATATACCTTTCAGAAAACAGTCCTAAATATTATTCTCTCTGTTGGGAACTCACTCATGTTTGATATACTTCAGTCCTGGCTTTAATGAAACCTCTAAGGCATAAACTTAATACAAGTTTAAAAGCTCTTGTCCAGTTTTCTTCTTGCAGCAAACTCCTGAGAAAAGAGACACCCGTAAGCACTGATGAATGTATAAACTGTTTGGGGAATGCACACTTTCAGTCTCATCATGTCAAAGCACCAAAATAACATGCAGTCACCATTATGAAATGCAAATACTGAGATTATTTGGTATTCTCTCATCATTCTGATAGACTCCACTTTGTGAGAAAATCCATCAGGGCTCAGAGTGGCTCTGTTCCTTTAGGAAGCTGTGGAAACAGGTCTACCTAGAAGGAAATGTATGTATCTGGTGAATGTATTATGTCATTTTTGTTGAAGGACAAACTTTTTTCTTACCTGAGAAGAACCTGTTAAACACTCAGTCTTCATCTTTTTTGCTGCTGTCCTTGTTTTGAGAAAGAAGAACATGTCCTTAGAAGGAAAACCTAGTAGAAAAGAAGAATGAACACCAGAGATGACTATACTTGCCACATTCACCTGACTGGAATTCATTCCATTCTAGCTTGAAATTCCTGAATATTTCTCTGCATTCAAGTAAATCCACACAAACAGACACTGCTGCCATACAGTGCCACTGTGGTCCTCTCTCATGCTGCCCTTCAAGAAGAGAATCATGGTGTTTAATTTCACAGAGTCCTTTTTTTCACCAACTCCTTAATATCATTACTAAATTGTTGACATAGCCAAACTCTTCAAATCTATTGTACTGTTTTTTGGCATGTTTAAGTTTGTAATAAATTCAAATGAACCTCACTATTTTTAACTCCTTTAACCTACATTTATTTCTGTAATTTCTTATATTTTTCTCTCTTACTTTCAAACAGGAAATACAGCATAAACCAAACATTCAGTAATTCGGCAGGATATTTTGGGAGAAAAAACATCCAATAGGAGAGGAACAGTAAAATCACTAAGTTTATAAAGCAATATTTTTTATTTTCCACACTTGGAAAAGATTGAGATTTTCCTTAGATGGAACATTAGCCCAAGTGATAGATATTTGAGATAAGGGACATTTTCCAAAGACAAAACAATGTTTCTTGTGAGATATTCTCAGTGTGATGAATCTGGGGATATACTAAACCTACCTTGAAATTTGTCACTTCACAATTCCCACAAGTATTCATTCCCACATATATAAATGGATGTTGAATTTTTAAAAAATGCCATGAAACAAAAGGACTCCCTTTAGGATTATAGGAGGTGGCCCATCATGCTGGCAGAAGGAGTCCATCCAGCTGGAAAGAAATGAACAGGGCAGGAGGTGTATGAATGCACTGGAAATGATAAGAATCCTAATCAGCATGGTAATGCTATTTCTATTTTGAGATGGGTAGGATCAATTAATGAGTCTCAGAAATCTTTGAAGCATCATTCATGCATTCCCCGACAGGCAAGAAGCCATGTTGAATGGGAACTCTGTGTGTGGAACATGGAAAACACTTTGGTGAATGCTCATGCCTTTAGACACACAGGAGAACTCAAAATGGAGGGAACGCTTACAAGGATAAGGAATATGGAAAAAGCTTCCTTTCTCTGCAGAAGGAAACCTGTAATGGAGACAGACTTTCTGGGTTTAATCAATACAGAAAAACCCATCTACCTGACTCCAAATATTCTGTACTGGAAAACCAGCACCCAAGAAAAAGCCTTCACATGCGGTGACAGTGGGAAGACCTTCCATGATCAATCTTACTTCAAAGCACAAATGACAACTCATGATGGAGAAGAAAGTCTATGAAAGCAAGGAAGGTGAGACACCTGTTCTTCACGAGTGTGCATGAAGAAACTTGCACTGCTAACGGATTTATGAATGTGAGGAATGTGAAAATATTCCATGTGTGCAAACTGTTACATATACATGTGAATTGACATGGGAGAAACCCTATAAATGTAAGGAAGTGGGAAAGCCTTTATTTCATCTTCCAATATTAAGAGACATACAAGAGCGCCTGGGTGGCTCAGTTGGTTAAGCGACTGCCTTCGGCTCAGGTCATGATCCCGGAGTCCTGGGATCGAGTCCCACATCGGGCTCCCGGGGGAGCCTGCTTCTCCCTCTGACCCTATCCCCTCTCATGCTGCTTCTCTCTCGCGCTCTCTCTCTCTCAAATAAAAAATTTAAAAAAAAAAAAGAGACATACAAAATCTGATACTGGAGAGAGTACCTTTGTATGTAAGGAATGTGAAAAGTTTTTAAAAATTCCTCATGTCTTAATCACATTTGAATTCACACTGGAATAAAGTATTACCAGTGTAAGGAATGTGGGAAAGCCTATACTGCATTCTTAAAACTTACTGAACATACACAAGCTCACACTGGAGAGAAGCCTTTTAAATGTAACAAACATGGGAAAGCCTTCACTACTTCCTCACGTTTTATGAATCCTCTCAGAACTCACAATGGAGAGAAACTTTGAGTGTAGTGTGTGTGGGAAAGCATTTGCCAGTTCCCACTTTATCACTCACATCTGTACTCACACTGGAGAGAAATACTATGAGTGTAAGAAATGCAGGAAAGCTTTAATCTCTCAAAAGTAGCAAGACCTTTAAGGATTCATACTGGAGAAAACCCTGATAAATGTAAGGAATGTGGGAAAACCTTCATTAGTTCTTTTTCTCTTAGTAAACAAAATATTGCACTCTGGAGAAGTAACTTGAATGTAAGGAATGCAGAAAATCCTTCCAAAATTATGTTTTAATCCATTTGAATTCAAACTGGATTAAAACCTTATGGATATGAATTGTGCAAGACTGTTGACTCTCGGATCTGTACCTCTGAAACAAATAATGCAATTCTAGCTTGAAATTCCTGAATATTTCTCTGCA